AATTCAACTAAAAAAATATTGTAAACGCCTTAATAAATAAAGAAGTTTGTCGAACGATTACAAAGTCCTCACGATCGATCCTGCGAGGTACCTGTTGTCCCTGTAGGAGTCGAGTCGTTTGAACAGTTGCCAATGGCACGCTTCCGTTTCCGCGGTTTACGATAAGCTTGGCATCGGCGAGCTTTTATGAGATAACGAGAACCTTACCTTCCCATCCCTGTGCTTCACTTGCTCGTGATTCTCCGGGACCACTTGAACGACGAACAGGTCCTTCGCAGTGTCGTCGTGCTTGTCCTTCACCTTCACGCTCAGATGATGGATGCCAACGTCCTTCTTCGTCGGGATGCCCATCAGAGTCGACGCGGCGTCGTCCCAGTACAACCATTGCAGCAGTCTGTTACCATCCGGGTCGAACAACTGTTTTTTTACACACACGAGATAAGAACGATGAACCTCAGGTTCAGCATAACTTTAGTTTACAGATGATATTAGTTACTTCTGCCAGGAAATAATTATACATTTTCTGTTCAGTTAGCTTAAAGTTGTATGAGCCGTAAGATCTCTGCAAGGGTTCATACAACCTTAAGGTCAATAATTCCGAATTGATTATCTTCGCATTTTAGCGTCTGGTAACTAAATTTTTTACTTCCTGTTAGTTTCAATAGACGAAGGTTACTATGTGAAATGTGTTAAAAACTGTTTCGTTCATTGCTTTGTGAACTTTCACGCATTAGAAGGGCAATCCATTGCGTAACACGTGCGAATCGCAAAAATTGTCGAAGCCGAAAAGTGTTAAAAATTAGTGTTCTAAACAGAGGTAGTATAGCTATGAAGAAACAGTATTCAGAATTCAGAGCTGGGGTCGCTAAACTTTTTTAGACAGACTAAGGATTATAATAATACCAGTTATGATTTTTGGAATGTTCTGAAAGCAGACTTAGGGCAATTAATTTCCTGTAAATTGAATCAGGTATGTAGATTCTTGGCGTTATTGGCACAAATGTTAAAAGAGGAAAATAGAAAGAACATGGAGAGAGTAAGTACATTAGGATCAAGGTATGAAATTTGGCTACAATCCAGGGTTTAACCGAAACGAAGCCTCGACTTCTCTCGCCCTCTTCTTGTTCGACAAATTAAGGCATTAGGATACTGTCCGTCTAGAAGGATTTAAAAAGCCAGCCGTCTCCCTACTTAATTTCTCTTCAGAGACGTTCGGTAATTTTTTTATTCGTAGAGATATAGAGGAATGAATTTTCTTGGAAATACGCCAAGTAATTTATTGTTCAACTTCGAGTTTGGAATTAAAGACAAGAATTCTTAAGTTGGAACTGCAGGAGTTTATCAGACGGTATAGCGCTGCACGCGAGCACGTACTTCGGAAATCTACTTAGCTGTACAATTTTGGTCGTCCTTGTAACTAGTCGCTATGAATACTCGGACTCCAATGGCCAGAACACGGCCGTTCCATTCAAAACCGAAGTTAAGAAGATACTAACAAGTCAAACAAATAAATCCGCAACAGTTGAGCGTAGCAATTGGCTTCACCTGGTTGGCCAGCGTCCAGGGTTAAAGACTCAAGTAAAAAAAAAGTGGCAATCGAAAAAGGAAAAGGATTCTCACCTCGTAGTAGTCGTCGGGTCCGCTGAATGCTTCCCGGTGTACTCTGAGCTTGAGCACGTGGCCAACGGGCACGACTACGTGTGGAACGTTGGACAACCTGTCGAACGGGTGTCTTTTTACGTCGTAGGGATGATGTTTCTGCTCGTGCCAACTGGTCTTGTACTCGTCATAGCGACGGGTGACCACAGTTGCTGCTGTACTACTGCTGCTGCTGATGCTGCTGCTCCCACTGGTGCTGCTGCTCTCTTCGCCGACGTCGTCGAAAACTAGGTCGTCCTCCTGCAAAGTGAAGCCCAGCACCGCGGGCAGAAGCAGGAACCACGCCAGGACGCAAGGATTCTTCATCTTCATTAGGGGGAGCTTTCCTTCGTCGCTGCTATCATATCATGCTGGAGCGCCTGGAAGCAAATGATAAAACAACTTCTAGAGCATCTTTTACATCTTTAATAGTAGCATTAACAATAAGTAAACTGTGGATGTTATTCATTTTTTCCTCGGCTAATATTATTCAACCGTGACCGTTTGATGTTCATGTACATTTTTTCCTCGTCTCTACTTCCTGTAGAACGATCTATTAATATAAAAATAATTATTTTTATGTAACTATAATTGTGTGCTCTTGAGAACATCCTGCGTGATGCAAAATTAGATATTAACGTTATTGATGCAATAATTAGTAAGGTTTTTTATGTTTATTATAACCTTCGGATTTTCCCTCGAGCAAGAGTTTTATCGTATTTCTGAAAATTTTACTAGAAATCTTACGACACAACCTTAAGCACAGTCAAATCGTATCTACATATTGATGCTCGTCACATAACGCTCCCTTATCGAACACAAGAATACAAATTTAATTAACGCTACTAGTTTGTTCATTAAAGTTCATTCGATCCAAATTCTGTTAACAGCGATAGGTTTAATCGTTACGGAATCGATGGGAATTAATTCGGAGTACGATTCAACGGGTCGCGTTTTCTCAGCTCGTAAGTCACTCCGCTCTTTTTCCTTTTCCGTTTCCGCAGGTATTTACCAGAGGAACAATGGGATCGGGTTTTGGTGCGCCGAATGCTGCGTCCAGCAGCCGGGGCCAATGATAGCCAATAAAGGCTTTCATTGCATTTTTATTTCCTCTTATTGCCCGTCGTGGACCGCGCGCCATTAATTGCCGGGGGCCGAACGATGAGAACTCCGCAGTTAAGTCGACGTTGCCTTTCATGGAGAAATAAACCAGGCCCGTGATCCTTTTCATCCGAGCTAATTCAGCTACCAGCCGCGTTACCGATCGGCTAACTAGATCGACGAGAAGGAATTCATTCTCTTTTCCCTTCGCTTCCATTCGATTTCGCCTGTTCTATTCGCCCGATGGCCTCTCGTTTACGATTTATCAATGAAATTACGGTGACTGGGTTCTCATTCACAGATCAAATTTCTATTCCAATCTCATTCGCGTTCAACCCCTTACGGTCTTTTCATTAATCATGACTATAGATTTTTATGAAAAATAAATCGTTTTTCGCATCTGCTCAAAAAATTCATTTCAGACATTTTTCTTTGATCATTCAAATGGATTTAACTTTTAATATTTGTATATTCTTATTCACAAGCACTTTTGCTATCTTCGACAGATAAAATTTTTCTATAAATCGCACTAAAATCCACAATCTAATCATGACTCCCCAACAAAATCGCAGTTCGAATGAACTTATGATGTAATACGTTCGGTCATGAAATGATTATTATTACTACTCTCAGATAACGATTAAGAATGAAACAGTGGCGTCTATCGTAACCGATAAGAACGGTTTTAATTAGCTCACGTGGTCTCCTTTCAGCGACTGCATCACGTGACCGGCGCATTGTCACCAGCGCGTGTACCATGACCCATTTCGCTGGTTCACCTCTGACCCTCGCCACTTTAGAGCAAGACGCGATACGCACGGTTCACGACGGATTATAACAAAACAGCATTGTGACGCAGCCGTGACCCGCCTTCCAGAACAAACCTCCCATTGTGCCGGATTCAGAGATATTCTTCTTCAACTTACGATTTGATGACCCATATCATTTGTTCATAATTGGCGAACTTTCCTCTCTATACCAATTGTACTTGCAAATCGATCTCGGATACGTACAACTCGAGATTTTGTATTTACGTGCGACGGTATCCAACAAAGAATTATGTTTGCTGCTTCGTTTTAATATAAAATAAGTCGAGATTCTGTCTCATGAGACGTTTCTCAATCTCTGCTTTGATTGTACGCGGAGGGAAATAAACTATAATAATATATGTCTTTACTCGGTAGACTAGAATCCGTAATGGAAGCTCGGCCGGTTAAACGGCGCATAAATCGAGTTACACGTTAATCGAAAGGAGGCCGACGCAATTTATGTATTATATGTACCAGTGGCCCGTTCTAGGAAACGCTGAAGACGGTCAATGGTACCAGAAGGCTCGCAGGGTCGTAGGTGGAGACAATCGAGTTCGCGTCTGCATTTGCATACGTCTCCGGACTTTTGTAATCGTTACAGGCGCCTACAATACTCGCAGCCAGGCTGCTTACGAGAAATATAAATGCCTTAAAAAATACAATATGTACATAAAGATATTCCGCGAAACGTGTATGCATTTTATAAAAATAAATTTCCTGTGATTGAAATACAGGGTGTCTCAACTAAAGGAGGTCATCTAAATATTTGTTCTATTCACTATATTACGAAAAACCTTTATGTATAAATGATTTCGAAAGAAGAATATCTTGTAACAAAAATTCTTTCCGTTTTTTAATCGTTTATTCAAATGATACACGTTTATCTCAATTTGCAATATTTATTACTCGTACAGTAGTACATCTGTGAATTTTTTAGATCTGAATCATGCTATGAAATATTTTTCATAACATAAAAGACGATATTTGGGTAGCTTCCTTTAACTGAGACACCCTGTGTATCAAATAATGTAGAAATTTGTATATGAACGCAGTATTATTCATTTCTTGGGAGGCTTAAAAACGGGAACGGTGGTTGTGACTTACAGCTGTAGGTAAAGTATGTTCAGTTGTGTTGAGTATGCCGAGTTGCTTACTTCAGAACGCGATTCACTTTGATTCGACAAGAACGTTGTCGTGGAATATGATGCCATTCAACGTGCCATTGTTCTCTCCCAAAGGTTAAGCTGATTGATTGAAGAACGCGAGTTGCTTTCAGGGCGAAGCCAATAGTAGCCGCACGAGACAGCGTTCAGAGAATAATTAGGAGGTACGCGAGAATATCGTGAATTTCGCTGAGGAATTACCTGAACACTCCCACAAGGGTCGTAATTCACAGGGTCGATACTGAACTGGCGTAATATGTATTTTATTGTTCTTAGAATACGAGCCGGTTTTATCCATACGTCGGTTGGAAAGAAACTAAGAATTCGCGGTACAAGCAACGATTTTTAATACCTGCGGTTAACTTGAGTCAGCCTGTTTTTTGGTTTTCAGATTGGATTACGCGGGAGTGACTAACATTTGGACTTAAGTCTAAAGGTGCGAGGCGATTTTTTCGACCTTCGACACGTCAACGCCGACAACACTGGATCTATACTTAGTAGCAGTTGTACGAACAATTATTTTCCAGTTTAAAAAATAGTTATGAAAATTATTAAACTTATTTATTATGTTCAAATATTGGACACAGCGTTTTATCACATTTTTGAAACCTTTGACAGAGACCTTAAGGTTCATACAGCTTTAATACGATGGATAGAAGGTAAGACGAGAAAGGGATACTCGATTTCTAGTTAATAATTAGGTGGGGCATGGTAGACGATGGTAACTTCGTTTTTACGTCGGGCACACGAATAGGATTTCCTTCTGCATGCAAATCAGCTGAGCAGCGTGTATTATGCCCGCATGCAAATGTCTAATTTGCATTGCAATTATTGAACGATATGTAGGACACGGCCGTGATAATAAAGACGCCCGGAGATCACTTGGCGAAATTGCGTTTCCGGACACCGACTACTCTCTACATTGCCATCGTTGCGTGATCGCCATCTGATCGAAATTCCTATTACCCGTCACGGCGATCTTCGTGGTTTCCTCTTAAAATTGTATAAACACTTACATAAAACAATGACAAAGTATTGAAATTTCAACAAAAATATTGCATTAATAAAACACAGTACAAAATTTTAGAAATTTTGCGAGCCTATTAAAAAGGTTATTACATCTTGAATTCTCATGTCGAATGACAGAATTTTGATTTGACTTATGGAAAAATATGAATGCGACAATAATAGAATTTTGTAGTTTTGTATAAATCTAATACATAATATAAAAATATTGGTATATTAAAAATATTGTTGTGCGTCACATACGGTATTTATATTCTTTGCACTTTCTTATAACTGCACAATGTCTAATTATAAATCTTTGAATGAGCCAGCTTATATTTTTATCGTCGCATGTAAAGCTGAAATTAGATTGAGGAAACGAGAGACTGATGGAAGAGGATGTTGGACCAGGGATTCAATTTTGAAAAGAAAAATTTCCTTGACTTTTGAGAACAGTGGGATGGATACCAAATGGAAGTTGAAGTCTTGAACAAACATTGGGAGGAAACGCGGGTCTTCGAAGTTTGATTGCGTCTGGGTGGAGTTGCAAGAAGATTCGTTGAAGAACTGCAAATGCAGCAGTGAAATTCCCAGTTCGAATCTGCTGTAATACATTCCGAGAACTGATCGGGAATCTCAAGTAATTAACTTGGAAACCACTAGAATCTCGTCGCTAGACTGCTGTTTTTTATACGAATTAAGATATTCAATAAATAATTCATTTCCAGATATAATCATATCCTTCATCATTTAAATTATACATTTGTCTTTAGTATTTCGTCTGATTTAAGTATTACAATATGTACTTTCAGTACTCACAGTATTTATATTCTTTTTTATAAATGCCTAAAATTCGCAGTCGAATTGCTACGAATTTATTACTGCGTTCGACAAATTAAATCCTTTTGGCAATTCGACCTCTTCTGGAATGAATTTTATATAGAACAAATAGAAATGTATTTCAAATAATTACTTAACTCTTTGGAGTTAGGCAGATTAAAAACTGTTCCAACTTTTGCTTAGCTTCTGTTTAATCCTCCTCGAAAAGTTGAGATTACTCAAAGTAACACACAGTTTAATATTTTATTTAAAGTTTTATCTGAAGTTATTTAGAATTCTCTGCAACTTGGATTTCTTTATCTTTAAAATAGTGTGCCTGAAAGAGTTAAATACCATACATTTTGCTTTTAGTACTTTGTATACTTTCATATATTACACGCAGTATTTTTACTCTCTGCACATTATATTTCCTTATAAATGCATAAAATCTGCGGTGTATTCATTACGTACACGAGACTTTTA